ACGAATGTCTCCAGAAAGGAAGGCTAAGCAACTGTTCCTTGCAAATCCGACCGGCAGAAAGCCCAGGGGATGGCCAAGATTAATATGGTGCAAATATATGGAAGGAGTCTGTTCCAGTCCCCATTTGTCTTTTGCCGAAGCTCAGACTCTGGCACAGGATCGGGAACGTTGGAAGCTTTGTCTGACGCTCCGCGACCCGAAAGGAGCAGCGGCGATGGAAGATGAAGATGAAGAAGATGATAGTAACCGAGTTGTTGCTGAAACGTTTTGTAATGTTTTTAATATTTGCTTTTCAGTTTCTTCTTTCAGCTGAGGATAAGCAGTGACTTTCGGGAGAAAGTGAGGAAATTACTGGGTATCGGGTGTGCCTTGTTTTTATTAGCAGTGTCTCTTTTTAATAGAAGGCGAATCGGTTCGGTTGTTCTTTGTCACGCCTTTGTCGAAAAGATGGCCTTTTGTCAAATATGGGCTTGCCTTCCTTGCGTTGGCATTTTCGCTGAGGTAGTTCGTATGAACACATATTTGACTTGTTCGTTAAGATCTTCTTGAGCAACGCTTTGCCTCTGTGATCTTTCTATGCGTTAGTGGCTTTTACGTCAATAGTTGCCAAATACTCAGCGGATTAGCGTTGAAGAGCGAAGTTTTTGACTCTTTCAGGGAAACTGATATTGATTTTCCTTAAAGGACGAGCCGTCGGATGTGTCAGATGCATTCACAGGTTAGGTAGATACACAAGCATTTACAGTCGCGTTCTTATATTTAAATTCAACTTGAGCCCATTTGCACCAATGCTGCCGTAGGGAATGACCCATTATTTCGAGCTGCAAGCGTAAGTCTGTACCGTTCTCTAGCTTCTATATTAGTAGGCATCTTAAAGTCAATTTTGTGCATTCTGTTCCCTATAATGGTATACATATGGGTGGTTGAAACAGAGTTATTCACTAATGCGACATTTCAAAGCTGTTAATGTTTCTGTGACCGTTGATACACTGATCTGAGACCTCCTTTCCTCATCGCTTGGCATATGTTCCCTCATGGAAGCAACGGTTGGTAGCCACTGTGATCAATGTGTGGTAAAGCAGCGCCAAGCTTACCTTGTGGCTCATTATGTTCGCCTAATAACGTTAATGATTTGCGTTTAGGTCTAAACGTTAAAGGCTCGCACGTCCACCCGTCTATCGTTTCGCAAGAGTGCGTTGCATCTATCCCTGTTTAAAATGCTGTCGAAGTAGTTAGCAAACGTCGAGTTGTCATATGCCTACTAGATGCCATCCGATTTGAACCACCAACACGGCCAAAGCTTAAAAAGGCTACTGGAAAAGATAGGTAAGCAATTTCACGCAGAAGCTTCCTTGTTTTCAGCGCATGTGTCAGACATCAACTCAGCTGAAGGGCGTTTTTCTTTTAAGACTGTTTTCTTGCAACACCGTAGAGATTGTTTGGAACCGATCACCAAAGGAAACAGTGTTTGCCTGCGGCTGTCGTGTTCTTTTCAGGCAAGTTGTTCTCGGTACAGATGCTCGATTTAAAGTATGAAGAAAATTTAAAGTAGGAAGAAAATGCATGGGGTTCCACCTCAGATTAAACCACCTCGATTTAAAGTAGGAAGAAAATGCATGGGGTTCCACCTCAGTGTTCTCTTCGGAGCAGGCAGTTCATGGATTAAATTATAACTTCTGCCAAAGATGGGAACACAGATCAATTGCACTACATTGCGCATCACAGTTATGTTAGCATGTAAATTAGTTGCCTCAAATTAACTTGTTGAATACCGAGACTTCCCTTCTGCTCCAGCAGACGACCGTAAATTATGAAGGTCTTGCCTACACTTACTCTTCGGCTGTTGCGGTGCATTTTTTGAAATACCCTTTTGTTTATTCTCATTTGCTTCGCTTCACTAGTACTCTGAACGTTTTTTTAAATCTGCTCTTCATTTATTTATTCAGTTTTGTGGACAAGGCTGACTTTTATTGAAAAACGAATGAAGGATATAACTGTTAGAATGTCGGTATTCCGGATGAAGTCATTTCTGGCGAACTTCTTTTCATGAGGCTAATTTGTGGCACTAATTCCCATTTCCATGCGATCAAACTGAAGTGTCTTATTGTAAAAGCAAATTCGACAGCAACTACACAGTGAATACAATGTGTAGTATTTTGCTTTTTTCTCACAATGTGTTGCTCGTTTATCACCGCCATAGAACGAAAGGCGAGTAGCCTGGCCTGGGCTCGAACCCGGGACCTCTCCGTTCCGAATTTGACGCTCTGTCAACTGTTCAACTCCGTACTTCGATTGAAATGGATCCTAATTATTCGTTAGGTAGGTTTTTGCATGTCAGATTCGTGTTATTTTCATGCTCACTTGTGTAGGCATGAAAAGTGAAGTTGTCATACCGTCGCATTATGAAGCCCATTAATGGATGGGCTTGCAAAGGTGCCAGTTTTATGCAATTCCAAATTATGTCGTCCAACGTTTAAGGTGTTCCTTTGCACAACTCAGATTGTTTTTCCTTGCTTGCCCTTGCATTGGCCAGTGTTGTTTGGTCGAAACGTAGCAGTAAATACTTTAACGCTATTCATCTGTTGTATCATTTATTCTTCTGTTATAGTAATCGAATCGCAGTTATGCGTGGTGAAATACAATTCAGACTTGACATGTGTTTTTAAAATCACACATTTGATCCTTTTTCGCACCTTGTCTAGCATATGGTTGTATGAGCTCCTTCGTCATCATTAGCTTTTGTCGATTCACTTCTGGATGAAGGCTTCTCCTAGTTTTTGTCACGAACTTCTGTTTTCTGAGATTTTATCCATCTTGATCCATCGAATTTCGTTAGCCCATCCTGCCATTTGTTTGAATTCTACAGGCGATTCTTAATATCTCTTAAAACCAGGTCTCTCGATGGTAAGCCTTCTTGCAACCTCTCTTGCCCAGTACCACTTTAACTTCTTAACTTGGGCAATCAAAAAGCATACTCTGGATTGCATCCTTATTCATTCATTCTCTTTTCTGTCTTTTCTTGTTATTCCGATCATACTTTTTTCCGCAAGTTCTGTCTTCTCAGAATCAGACGTTAGACATATGGGAGGTTAAAATGACATCCACTGACTTGTTACTAACGTATGTTTATCATGTCGTCACAAATTTGTTTTCAATATGGGCCTAAATCTGTCATCTGTCAAATTCGAATTTAAGTCTTCGCGGGCTCGTGCAACAGTCCTTCTGTGATGTAACAACCACATATTCCTTTGCAGAATCACCGTGGGAAAAATCTACTCGATTATAGATTATCTGGAATAAATAGAATCTTATTTCAAAGATTTTGTCTTAAGCATCGGTAAATGTTAAAACATTACTTCGGGAACGTATCTGAACAGAACGCAGTTTCTCATAATTTCAACCACTCGTTGCATTTGTTAGCGCGTTCAAAACTGGCCTTCCGCTGTCATTAAACCGCGTATTACAGAAAAGTGTGGTGGAAGTGCGATTTGAGATCCTTCTTGTTGATTTTTCGATTTACAACCTGACTTTTAACCTAGTCGAAAGTTGGAGTTAGATACATTTATTAGTTCGTGGCCGACAACAATGGCCTTTTCAAGGTAGAATAGACAAAAATGTTGAAGTAATTACTTATAAAGTGCGTGGGGCAGAGTCCAAACTTAATAGAGAAACAGATATCCTTGAATCCGGGATAATCGCCCTAACGGTGACGAGTACCTAACCGGATTATGTATATATCTCAAAAATAGGAATTTCAGTGCCAAGTACGTAATGTACACTTACTCTTCCTCCAGAACCAGAGTTCAGGAAGTATTTCTGCGTTCTCTTGTTTCTAGTTAACTTGGGGGAATTTAGGAAGGCAATATTTCCATGGTATTTGAGCATTTGCAGCGCACGCATCCGTCATCACTTCGTTCTCTGGCGCAACGTCATGCTCTTCATTAAATATGATCCAAGAACTTGTATTTGCTATATGTCCCTGTAAGCATCGCAGTATGTGCCCGTGAAATATAATGGTAGGAAGTTAACGTCAGTTAACGTGCTCCGCTGTACGAACCTATGTTTGAATGTTGTACGATGAGTTATGAGGAATAGCAACCTCTGAAGCGTTAGTGGTGAAGAATGAGGTTTCCCCGGCGAACAGAACGATGTGATATTCCTGTCAGATGTTCAGATACCATGTAACTGTCGTATGCTTTAATGGTTTCATAGACAGAAACGGTTGGTCTGAAGTTTGATCTTGGAAAAGTTATGCTAGGTTTACTTGATCCTGTATGTGAACTATCTTATACGATACTTAATCATTCAATTTTCCATTGATCTGTTTTCAGGCTTAATTGTACCGTATGAACTGGCTCCAGGTGTCATAACGTTTCTAACATTTCTTGGTTACAAGATTAAAGCGCTGTGGACACCGAATACCGACTACACGATACGCGCCGCTAGCGACTATGAGATTCCGTTTGTTGCCACGCAGCCGGACGAAGTATTGTTGCGAAAGGACGTGCAGTTGGTCATTATTACAGGATATCCGTCGATGACGCCTCAGGTGATAACCAAAGCTTTGGGTGTTGGGAAGCACGTCGTCTGTGACGTACCGTTGGCGATGAATGGGGATCACTTAGTGAAGATTATCCAAGCGGTTGAATACTATCCGCAGCTATTAGCTTTTAACTGTTACGGCATGCGTGCCATGAACATATACAAAGAAGCGAAGCGACTAATCGGCAAAGGCCTAATCGGCTCATTGAATGCGTGCGAGGTGAAGGTTAAGTCCGGTTCACTGAGCTGTGATCAGTACAACTGGACACACGATCGCCATGCCGGTGGTGGGGTGTTGAACCTGGTCGGCAGTCACGTCATCGATCTTCTGACGTACCTGTTTGACCGACGGGCAGTGAGGGTTAGCGGTTTCGTTCAGTGCATTCCGTTGTCGGACGCATCGAATGCGTCCGCGACCGACGTGAGGACGCGAACAGTATACCGGAAGACATGTGCCGACAATTTCGCGTGCTTTGTTCTGCACTTTGACGGAGATTTTTACGTTTCAGTGACGTTGAATGCCCTTGGATCGCCTGACTATTTTCAAGAGGTGCTCATATGCGGCTCCGTTGGGCAGCTGGTCGCTCGTAACACGAGCTTATTTTACGTGGATCTTGCCGATTCTAGCCCAGTGGAGCAGTTGGTATGTTCAGAGTCGCCGACGTGTCAAGAAGTGCCTTTTGATTATGACGAGTGCAGTGACCCGCGCAAGCGTCCGTCACAACATTTTTTAATTTTGTACCGGCTGACGTTCATGAAGTCGTTGGAGGTTTTGCACCGGTCACTGTTTGACTCCGAGGCCCGTACCGCTGACACATCCAGCGCCCTCAGTCATCACGGCCACATCGGTGATTTGACTAACTTTAATGACATGCTTTACGTGAAGTCCGTCATTGATGCCATACGCAAGTCTAACGACAAAAAAGAATGGATGAAAATTAGCTCTTGAGCGGTTCGTTCAGAACCGGTATTTTACGTGGTAAACGATGCAGCTTTGCGACGCATCGCGTTGCTTGATGTCTTTTTAAAATAAGTGATTGACGTGTTGAGGTACACAACTGGTTTTAGGTTGTTATCAATTTAGTTTTTGAATCGCTTTAATGAATAGCTTGGTATTTTTGAATGTCGTTGAACAGTGTGTATTTCATATTGAACCTGATTTTGTGCCTGTTATTGCGGCAGATAAATTAATAAAATTAGTACAACTGTTTTATCAAACGATGGCTATTGTGTAGGTTAGAACTTAGCCTCGAAACTTTAGTGAATTTCATATTTTGCCCTTAAAATGATGCTATGATTCGGCGATCTATGCGAAAGATTAGATACTATTGATGATGCGGATGATACATTGTTGATCTCAGTATGCACCCACAATAAATCGATTCAGCGACCTGACTGATTCAACTATGTCGAATTTTTCTTTTTCATCCTGCTGAAGGTAATCTTATCGAGAAGGTTAGCGCTATATTTACTCTATCGTTCAGCGTACTCGCTCATGATTTACTGATATTGGCAGGAGTTTTTTGAACTTTTGCAGAACATGCGGCGTAACCGTAAGTGAAAACTGATTTTTTGGTGAACCAATACGTCGACGTCGACCAACGTATGGCGTTTGTGACCAAAGTCCACAAACCTGATTGGACCGCGACCTCATTAATTGCAAATGGCGCATCTCGATGACAGGGGGAAGCAGTGACAATTGGACATCCTCGCCCTTTAAGCGGACCAGATTCAAGACGAAAAACTAACATTTATCTTAAGTACAAATTCCACTAGAGCAATGAACTCACCCCATTTTAAATGGGTAGCAAATCGTTGACTTGTGTATAGTAGGGCGGCATGATGCTCTAGTGTTGTCAATCTGACAGTGCAAGACATACAACGCTGCAGTATGATTCTCGGCCCATACGGGTTCAATTCTCCTTGACTCACCTACGAGTTGACTAAATTCAGTAGAAGGTGTAACGCGCAAATGTTCATTCATTGTACGAACATAAAGACACCGATGAGCAGGTGCTAAAATTTGTGAATTAAAGTTTCTTTCGAATGCAATCGACCATTTTGACGTTATCTCTGCTTTGCAGGTAAAGCTTGATTTTCCGTATTTTCCTATCGATAACGCGCACCTCATTTGCACCGCGTAACTTGCTCTTGTTTATTATCATTAAAATGCGTACATAACGAGCATATCGCAATATTAAATGTTGATGAAAATGCATAATTGCGTGGACTCCATCTTTTGTCTGATAAAAAACAGTGTTCGGAGAAATGAATAATGGAATAATGATTGATCGTGACTGTATCAAAGACAAGCAAAGTGAAGAATTGATATAACCATATTGGTTCTAGCCTTTGAATAGTGTATTGTGCAAGTGTTTAGTCTTTAAAAATGAAAATTGCTCCTGAGAAAATGACCACATTGAGAAAAAGATATTGTGCAAAAAAAGCCTTATATAACAATGTTCAAGCTGGAAGCTGCTAATTTTTCAGTAGATAAAAGAAATCGTGAGCCAGTCAGGAAACTTAACATTGAAGAGCCCGTTATACGAGAATGGAGGAATGAAGAAGCAGTCGTTAAACAATTACACTAGAGAAAGACAATGAGATGAGGAGAAGCTTCAGGCTAGAGTTCAAAAAAGCACATCTCAAGTGGGTTCATTGAGAGGGACCGAAGGAACAAAAAGTGCCAACAACCAGTATTTCAGAAAACGAACTGACTGATGCACCAGAACCTGTAAACAAATTGTTCTTAATTCATTAAGAGTTTTATGGTTTTGAGCGACTTTATTATAATACGTGCGTGCAATAAATATTATTTGGCGTTTAATATTTTATTTTATTTTGTTCTATTAGCCCTTATATACACTATATTTGCAATATGCACATGGCTACAATTTATTTTTTTCCACTATATATGCCATTCGAAACTGCGGCAAACATTGGTTACTTGAAAAAATCGGATTTTGTTCGTCTTTCATTGCAACACGCAGTTTCGCTACATTGACGACACTTTTACATAGGCAACGCACGCGATATCAGTGGAAAAATACTGTGCAATAGAAGAAACTCCCTTCACTCCTGGTAAACATTACAGTGGTGGGGGATAGATTTGGGTTCAACAGAAATTTTTTGTTCAGCTAATAAAACGTACCAGTTGGATTGCACAAATTGATTGCTTGAATTGCAAATTGTGCAAAGAAGCCAAACAAAACGAAACTGTGACAAAAAATAACCAGAGAAGAACTTTGGAATTACCCTGAGGATTATGACCGCTATGCAGAATCAGGATAGAGAAAATCGTTCTTATGATTTTGGTTGTCATAAAACAAAGTGGAAATTATGTTCTGCATCATTTTTTTTGATATGGGTGACTTTTTAGAGGATAAGTTACAACTTTTTTCTTGTTTGCTTGATTCTTAATCCCACTGATGTTCTATCAGTGATCTATGGATCTTTGGCGTAGATTTTGAAAGGCATCTGTAGCCGGATGAAGTTAGGAGTTAAGTAGAGGTCTCGGTAGAATTATTTTGCTAATGTGATATCTACTTCTTAACACATGGACACCGTATAGGCAAAATCATTTGGGAATGATAGGGTAGGGGCTGAAAATTGGTTTAGCACTATTAAGCGCAATACAGTCGTGGTCCATTACACGGTCTACCTGCCATAGTTCAGAAATGATGACATTGCGTGCAGCAGAGGAAGTCACTAAATTGCAACCTTTTCATTGAAACTGTTATGCATTCCGTTGGTCAACTGGCCTCCAACGTATATTTGGACGGATGTGGAATAACTGAGAAAACTACAGTAGCTGCTGTAGGAAATATTGCCTTGCAAATCAAAACCTTACAGTTGCAATGTCGGCTGTGTTCAGACGCAATACCGAGAGAGACTTTCTTCGCTTTGACTAAAATTGTATTCATATAACCAACTACACGTAACTAATTAATTTATTTCGGCAACGTCTCAGAAAATGCCGACTTCTTT